TTTCTCTGTAGCCAGGACAATTGATGACTTGGCTGCTATTTTTAAGAGATGAACACATTTAAAAATCAATAGAAAACTCTGAAGCCTCGGTTTTTTTTTTTCAAAGCCTGAGCGAAGTCCAGTCAGAGAGCCTGGCAGGCCGTTCCCTTCATGTCAGCTCAGATCTGGATGCCCACCCAAACATCTGACCAAAAAAGAACAGTAAGGAATGTGCTTTACCTGAGAACTGGACTTTGAGCCTGTTTTGATTTTTAAGTATTTTATTTATTTTACCTTTAAGTCTTAGAGACACGCAGAGTGACCATCATCTCATCACTCACCGCTCTCTAGCACCATTTCTGTCATACATCCATTTACTGGACGTTTCAGACAAATGAGAGTCTTTTCACAAATGCTCCCTCGGAGGCAAAATGGAATAGAAACTCCCAAAAGTGATGGGAATCAGAGAGGCAGCCCACTGGCAGTCCAGGGGCTGAGGCGCCCACCCTGCAAACCGTGATACGGGCTCCATCCCCAGCACTGCAGTGGTCACCTGAGCCCCTCCAAGAGGGGTCCCAAGCACAGAGCCAGGAGTAGCCCTGACCACAGACGGGGTTTGAGGTGGCAACTTTCACACCTAGGCATGAGTTCCTTTTCATACTCAGGTATGGAGACAGAAACTGGAGCAATAATTAAAAGCTGAAAATAAAGATGTTGAAATAACTTTATTCAGTGTTCTTGATCATTTTATAATCTAAGGAAACTACCAAATTTTTCATACAATCCCTCCCATAATCTGTCATAATGTGGCACTCAGTGTTCAGTTGTTCAATTCTGGAGCAGTGCTGAATCCCAAAACAAATCTATGGAAATCTATGCTAAAAGAATAAAAGTTTGTTTAAAATCGACAGGACTAGACTTGCAATGTCTTAAGGAAAGGGTTTTACTAAAAATAATATCCAAGCGAAAATGGGAACCACAAAGACATGAAAACCAGCGGTGTTTTGCTTATTTTTGGACCAAGTGTCTCGGAGCACTGCCCGTGAGTACTGGGTACAGACATGTGGGTGGGTGAACTCTGCCTCCTTTGCCATAACCGGCCACACCATGAGTGAATGCTCTGGGCAGCCCATGCCACAGTCATTTGCTTTGATTTTTATTATTTTGCCTTTTGTGTCACACCCGGTGAGGCTCAGGGGTTACTCCTAGCGGTGCTCGGGGGACCATATGGGATACCAGGGTGCAAGGCAAATGCCCTCCCCACTGCACTATCACTCCAAAGCCCCGGTCTTTGCTTTGAAGAGTCAGAGCCTGGCACAGGAAGGATTTTTTTCTCCTGCTACCAGCCTCAGACATGAGGCACATGGTGGAAATGGTACACAGGGAACACGGGGACACTGGGGACACAGCCTGAGGAGGCGCTGGGACCCGGATCATGGCAGAGGCTGAGGAACAGACCCACAGTCCCTTTGCAAGTCACCGATGTAGATCCAAATCCATGATTGCATCAAGATCCCCAACGCCAGCTAAGACCTGTGCCAGGTGGCCCGGACGGAGCAAGTGTGCACAGGTGCAGGAGGTGGGGCAGCTGCCGTGGGGTCTCTGGGCAGTGCCCTTCAGTGCCCAGCCTGGGCACGCTCTGCGGAGAAGTGCTGGCTGCCTGCCTGGCCGCTGGGCTTGGCAGTGAAGCCCCGACTCTGAGTCTGAAACTGAGAGCTCGGCGCGTGCTGCCTCTTTCCCGGCTGTGCTCCCACCAGGCGCCTCGGCTGAGTCCTACGTGTCTGTAAGCTGCTGGCCTCTGCCAGGGGCTCCTCTCCCACCTGAAGCCACCCACATGGGGAGCCACATCCGCTCATGCCTGTCAGGAGGAATAGGCTGGAGCTGCGTGGTTGGTCCTGGTCGTCAGGGACTCTCGGAGCCTGGGGAAGAAGCTCCAGACTTCACTCTGGAGCTGGGGCCAATGCAGGTCCAGTTGCTTCATCCAGAGTGGAAGTTAGTGACTGACCCTGTCATCAACCCTAGTCCAGGAAGCCCGGCTACGCCTGCTCTCAGCAAGGGCTGCTCCTTCGTCCCTTTGCAGGCCGGGCTGACCCACCCCGTGCCCAGACACTCAGGGCTGACCCAGCGGTTCACTGCCCCTGCTGTCCTTGTGCTCCATCTCCAGCCATGTCCTCTCTTGCCTCCGACTCTAGTGCTCATGGTGGGAGGCACCTGTCTCAAACCAAACCACAGAGACGTGGCCTGAGCTGGGCAGTTGGAAGGGCCGCATCGGAGGGACCTTCCTATGCAACCTCGGACTGCAGCCCTGTCTGTCCTCACCATCTTCCACAATGGTTACTGGGCTTGGGGGTCACTGCTGGCCATCATCTGCCAACGTGAGAGTTCAATGCTCACTGGACACCCGTATGTTGGGGTCACCCAGGCAGCCCCTGGCCTTGTTAGGGGTCATTTCCAATGGGGATCAAACGTGAAGGTGATTTGTGCTTGTTGGCTTCCAGTCATTTCTGCTTTTCCAGGCTCTCCATCGGTGCTTCCGGTGAAGAGACTGAATACTTTGGTTTCTGTGACTTTGTGGAACTCATGTCGTACTCCTAAACAGGGTCCCGTGAGCACTGGGGTAAACTGTGTATTTTGGATTTGGGGCAGTTACATGTTACCCAGGTCATCTGGGCCCTATTCAGGCCCTTGTTTCTTTATGGATCCTCTTGGTGGACACGTCCAGTGGTGAAAGTGGACTGTCAGGATCCTCTGTCACTACTGTGTCACTTTGCTTTACGTTCATCATTGCTATGAGGACTTTGCTACCTTGCCTTCCATCCAGTTAACAGTCACTAACTTAGTGGGACCACACTGGCATGTTGATTACTTCCCCGGAACTCAGCGCTGTCCTACTGATGGGTGACAGTGCGGTTTCCAGCACTCAGCAGCCCACCCCTTCCCGGGTGAGCGCTGCCCTTGCTCTGAGCCTGACTTGCCATCAGAGTTCAAGTATGTCTCGTGCAAGCAGCGAGCCTGGGCTTTGCTCTGGATGGCGACCAGCCTGCACCTTTCGATAAGGGAGTTCAAACCACTGACATTTAGAGAGATTATTGGCGGGAGTAAATCCAGCACCGTGTTTCCATGAGGATTTGGGGTGGTTCGCAGCTCGCCGTCATTTCTTTAGCTTTTGTCTATTTCTCACTCTTGCGTTTTGACACTCGAATTTAAAGGGATGATCAGCCTCTGTTTGCCTCTTCTTGGTCTTTTATATGGTTTTGTTTCAACGTGATCACATTGCTCCCTATGGCAGCCCCAAGCTCATGTCCCCTTTCAAGTCCCCAACAGGATGTTTTTGTTCCTTTCCTGGGTGGCCTTTTCTCCTCTCCATCTCTTTTCCCTCTTAAGACTTTCACATGTTATTCTGCTTCCATCTAGAGTTTCCCTTCTTTTCCCAGGAGCCTGAGGTGCATGACCATCTAATCAGCTTTCTGCTCAGTAAGTTTGAAAATGGCCTTTTAGACGCAAATACTGAGGACAGCACCTAAATGCCCACAGGTCTATTCTATCCTGTCCCCAAAGAGTCACTGGTACACTGCTGAGTGGTTGAAAGCGGGGAAAGGACACCATAAAAGGGAGTGTTTGTGCAAAAAGAAGGGTGGGGGGAATCCAACCCTCCATGTCCATTGGCCTGTGTGCGCCATTGACCACGGGACCCAAGGTAGGCCACAAACAGGAGTGGCGCGGGACCCCTCACCTCTCCTTGGGGGCTCCCAGGCCTTCGCAGATACCTTTCTCCTGCCAGCATTCAATATCGTGACTGAAGGCAGCTGACACCGAGCTCTTAGCCCAATGCCGTGCTTCTGAGAGCAAGAACGTGCAGAGAATCCACGTTTAAACAGCCCTAGGTTGGGGGGTGGACACATAGTGCAAGCATGGAGGCACTTGTGTTGCATGCAGCCGATCCATTTGGGCCCCCAGCTCCCAAGCTCCACCTGGAGAGATCCCTGAGAGTAGGGGCAGGAGTGAGCCCTGAGCACTGCTGGGTGTGGCACTTCTCTGGAAGCAATAGCACCACACACCTGGGCACATCCTGGCATCAGTGGACATCCAGGCCACTGCACTGTGCCAGGTAGAGACCACTGAAGGCATCTCAGATAGCACATGTGGCACCATGCAGGAACGGGGCCTGAGAGCAGGTGCTGAGACCCTGGGTGTCTCCAGAGCTGGACCTGCAGCATGGAAGCAGAGACCCGCCCCCCTGGAGAGGGTGCAGACTATGGCTTGGATGCTCTGCTCAGCGGACTGTGTTCCTGAGGGTCCTGCTGGTTCCACACCTCAGCCGAGTCTTTTGAGCGGTTGCCCGCAGGTGGGGCTGCTCCAAGCCTGATGCTCAGGTTAGGGGACAGGAGACCCCACACTGCAGCTACCTGCAGGGCACTGAAATCCTCACCAACATCCATGCTGACTGGCTGCATGGTGGCAGCTGGCCGTGTCCACATGGAGTGTGGCTGCTTGGGGCTGTGCCACTGTGGCCTCCCTGCCTCATCTCCCCAGCCTCTCTGTTGCCCTGGCCAGGCTCAGAGGGACCCTCCCAGGGTTTGGGGGCAAGGAGGGACACTGCGGTCCCATCTGGCTGCCCCTGGCTGGTCCAGTCCTCACTGTAGGCTGATCCAATGTCCAGGAACAAGGGACAGGCTCAAGCATGCTGTTTTGGCTGCCTGCAGTCCATTGTGTCTAAGTTCTTGGGAAGCAGTGGACAGAGAGACTGTCCCCAGCTATCCCATCAGTGGACAGAGAGACTCTCCTCCACTGGCCCATCAGTGGATAAAGAGACTCTTCCCCACTGACCCATCAGTGGACGGAGAGACTCTCCCCTGTTGACCAATCAATGGACGGAGACTGCCCCCTGCTTCCCTGTCAGTGATGAGGACCCTCGAGGTGGGCTGGGGGTTTTGTGGGGCCCTGGGTCTGCGTCTGGGATTGGGGACACTCAGCCCCGCACCCCCGCTCTGGTTTCAGGGCTTCTCTCTTCTCTGTTCCAGGCTCACAGGCATGAACCTCCCGTCCCCCGTCATCAGCAGCAAGAACTGGCTGCGCCTCCACTTCACGACCGACAGCAACCACCGGCGCAAGGGCTTCAGCGCGCAGTTCCAAGGTGAGGAGAGAGGCAGGGAGAGGCAGCCTGATGCACCGAGGAGAGTCAGGGCCTGCTCAGGACAAGGGTGACGCCTGCACTGGGAAAGTGGTTCAGAGAAGCTGCCGTGCCCTCAGGAGCGGAACCACCGCCAGCCTCGCGGCCTGTTTTCTAGGCCTTTTATAAAGAGCTTGGGGGTAGGGGTGACTGCAGAGAAGGCTCACCTGGGGGCTCAGGGGTCACTGCTGGCCATGGACACAGGGATCACTGCTTGGCCATGCACTGAGGAGTCATTGCTGGCCATGCACTCAGGAGTCAATGCTGGCCATGCACTCAGGGGTCACTCCTGACTTCGCTCAGGGGTCACAGCTGGCCGTGCACTCAAGGGTCACTCCTGATTGTGTGCTCAGGGGTCACTGCTGGCTGTACACTCAGGGGTCACTGCTGGCTGTGTACTCAGAGGTCACTGCTGGTCGTGCACTCAGGGGTCACTGCTGGCTGTGTATTCAGGAGTCCCTGCTGGCCGTGCACTCAGGAGTCAATGCTGGCCATGCACTCAGGGGTCACTGCTGGCTGTGTACTCAGAGGTCACTGCTGGTCGTGCACTCAGGGGTCACTGCTGGCTGTATATTCAGGAGTCACTGCTGGCCATGCACTCAGGAGTCAACGCTGGCCATGCACTCAGGGGTCACTGCTAGCTGTGTACTCAGAGGTCACTGCTGGCCGTGCACTCAGGGGTCACTGCTGGCTGTGTATTCAGGAGTCACTGCTGGCCGTGCACTCAGGGGTCACTGCTGGAGGAGCTTGGGCACCATCTGCCATGCCAGGGCTTGAGCCCAGTGTGGCTGTGTGGAAGGCAGGTGCCCTGCCCGCTGTCCCGTAGCCCCATTTTAATGCACAAGTGTTCGTGGGCATGAGAGCTGGCGAGAGCACACCTGGCCATGGCAGGTGCCCATTGCAATTGGTTGTTTCCACTGTCCACTCCCTGAGAGAAGCAGTGAGCGTGGGGCTGTGTGGCTGTGGAAGAGTATTGCCTCCGTCTTAAAGGGCCCCGAGCACCAGAGCCGGGGTCTCTGCCTAGCGACCCTCAGGCCCGAATCTCAGCAGAGATGCTGCATTGTGAGCGGCCGTGGCCACGTGTGTGCCTGACGCGGTCCTCTCTGCTCTGGGGGGCTTAACCTTGGGTCCAGATGTGGCCACTGCCTCCCTTCTGAGGACAACAGCCGTTCTGTATCTCAGTGACAACTGGGTGATAGTGGAGGACATCTAGACCCGAGAATGTGGGGGGCGGAGCCAGGCTAGTGAGATGGGGACGTGGTGGCCACCTGGGGACGCCGCAGCGAGAACAATACTCCCTGCATAGGCGCTGGGGTCTCTAAGCTGACTGACACCTCCCAGGCCCAAGGGGTCAGAAACTTGTACTGGGAGGCACAGGCCCCAGAGCTCTCTGAGCTGCCTACTGGCTTCTGACAGCCCTGTGGGCCTGTTCACAGTGGCAGGACACTGGCTGCGTGGCCCTGCAGCCTTTGATGGGAAGAGAGAGCAGAGCATGGGGTAGAACGGGTGCCTCTATATCGGTTCCGTGTATGTGTACGTGTGCAATCACTGACAGGTAGAGAAGTCTGATGATCTAGATACCAGCCACAGGCTTGTAAGCACACACATGGGTACATACGTGTGCATATATGTGTACACATGTGTAGATGGGATGCCCGGGTCCTGCTCACCTGGAAGTGACTTTATTTTAACTAGGGAGACTGAGGCAACAGGTGGACCCCATTATTATCACAATACAATTGCAAAGAAAAGAAGCATTATAGATGAACATTCTAGAAAGGGGAAACTCCCTCTGTGCTGAGCACTCTGTGTGTGCGAGCGTGTGTGTGCGTGTATGTGTGCATGTGTGTATCTATGTATGTGTGTGCATGTGTGTACGTGTGTGTGTGTGTGTGTGTATCTCTTGGTCTGGGCCTCTAAGTGATAGGACTGGAGGACTGTTTCCTCTACTTCTGTGGATACCTCCATGCCTTGTGCACACATCTAGTCTCATGCTTGAGAGGAAAGTCTATAACATGAGGAGTCTTCTGCTTCCAGGCACAGGCTGCCAGGTCTGGCTCCTCTCAGGTAGACTGAGTCTCAGCTTTCACGAACCCGATGCCCAGGAGCACTTTCTCCTACACTCAGTGCTCTTCCTGGCCAAACCAACAGGAGCCAGCTCAGACACAGACCCTGCCTCACTTGATGCCGCTAGCTTTCTTCTACCACGTCTTTATTCCCCGACAATCACAGTCTTTCCTTTGGCTTCTAGCTTTTCTCGGCGCAATGAGGCTGACCCACCCAGGCCACACAGCCCTCAGCTGCCATCCCTAAGACGCGCACTCTTCTTAAACAGCACATGGATGGGAGGAGCAGCAGGTGCAGGAGAGAAACTCACCCCCTTGGCAATACCTGTGTCTCTATTGGGCTCTTGCAGAATGATAGATTTATGTAGGATTCATTATTTCTTTAAATCAGCTGAAAATTGAGCCCATTCTTTATATGTTGCCTCCATCATTAATTATAATTAAATAAGTGCCTTGTTAGTGCAATCCATCATCTAGACACTTCCAGTGTCTCCAGGGTGAATTTTTAAGGCATATTAATCTTGAAGAACAATGCCTCTTCACTATTAAGCAGCCACGTAGGGGCTACCTCGACTGGTACATATGTTTACCTGGCTATTTATAAAAATACAATTTTCACAGAATGAAATTCCCATTGATTCCTGTAATGGATAAATCATTTTGAAAGCGTTTGTAATAAAGTTCCAGTTTATACAGAGAACACCCCGGCTCATAAATCAAGGAGGAACCTAGCCGTGGATTTCAAGCCCGTGTTGACACAAATAATTAGTTTGCTTTTTAGGTGCAGGTTCTATATACCTATTGATTGTCTTTAAAGGAGAGGTCTCGGCGCTCTCCCTGGCTGCACTGTAAAGAATGGAGGCTCCATCTCCTCAGCTTAATTGAAATGTGAGCGAGACCAGCGCTCCCCTCTGCAGCTCAGCACCGGCTGCGGAAGCTCTTCTCCAAGGGCTCGTCTGCCCCTCCCAGCCAGGCTGTGTCTGTGATTCTCTCCCACAGAAGGAAACTGTCCCATGGGAAAGACTCAAGGCAGAAGGAGGACGGGGCACCGTCAATCTCAACGCCGGCCTGCAGAACTCGGCCGGTCCTGCAGGTGGCACTCCCACCCAGCCTCCTGACCAGGAAACCGACTGCCTCAACGTCCACTGGCAAAACTGATCTCACGACCTTTCTCCATCATTCTTAAATCCCCCACATGCAAAAATGGCGCTTGGATAAAAAAAAAAAATAAGCCTCCTTGCCTCAGAAGCGTGGGCCACTTGCCCCACTCGGATTGTTGAGTTTCTCCCAGAGCCCAGGGGAAGAAAGACACCCTTCGTGTGTCCAGGCTATGGGTCCAGACTGTTCAAAGCCAGAGCCCTTGATGCCTGACGGGTTCTGCACGGCCAAGGAAACTGGGAGTGCCCCTCGTGGAATGTTCTGGAAAGCCAACAAAGTGAGGCAGCAGCATGGCCACAGCTGGTTTCCTGAGCTCCAAGGGTCCCTTCTACTCCAGCAAGCCTTCCACAAGTCACCAACCTGTGCTGGGTGGTCCACGGTCCAGGCTCTGTGAAAACCCCACACCATGTGGAGAATATGGTCCACTCACAGCGGCTCGGGAGCAGGCTCCCCTTTGGTGGACGAGGGTTTGAGGAGCCAGAAGCTCAGTTAGCAGTGGCCCCCGGGGGGAAATTCTGTCAGGACAGAGGATGTTTGTGGGCAATCCCCCAGGAAAAGTCCTCAGCGCCATTTTCAGTCACGCCCGGCAGTGAGGCTCTTCCTAGCCCTGGCACCTGTCTGGAAGACCACAGTTTGCATGGTCACTCGCTAGGGACTGTCCCTCTGGCACCATTTCTGACAAGTCCTGGGTGGTGTCAGCCTGAGGCGGTTCCTAGAGTTTCCCAGATTCCAGCCACTTCCTCCCTCACCCAGTGACCTCGGCTCCATCCCCTGGAAACTGCTCCCATTCCTGCCCTGGAGATGGAGCTAACGGGACATGGGACACGGCTCCAGCTGTATCCATCTACCACCCAAGAGGCACAATGCAGAGAGGTACAGGGCCTGTGGAACCCACCAGGAACTCAGGGGAATTTCTGCTTCTCTGGTACCTTTCTGGAGCTGAGGTTGGCTTGTGAGTCTGTGCCAGTGGTGAGCCAGGAATGAGTGGCATCCAGTGAAACAGCTCCAGCCCTGGGAGGCTGCCATATCTCCAGCCAAAGTTCCTCCAGACTGACCTTCCGGTACAGCCACCTGCACTGGACTTCGGAGCAGTCACCGTGGCATGAGGCAGGTGCTGCTACCCACACTATGTGGTATGGACTGGCTGTTCCTTTGCAGAAACGGAAGCTTTTGGCAGCAGTGGTCCGGCCAGGCCTCCAGCACCCAGTGCTGTCCCATGGCTGAGCCATAAACCATGCACTGGCACCACGGTCTTTGATTCTCACTAGTTTGTGCCATAAGCCAGGCCCGGGTGCCACTGTGTTTAGTTCTCCCTACCTTATGCCTCCAGATCTCTGAGAGGCATTTTGATGACCCCATGTCACATAGACTCAGGCTGTGGAACTCTTGCTCTCCTCGAACCCAGGTCCCCATCCTGCCCATCACTGGCAGGCCTATGGCACACACAGGACCACCATTCGTGGCCTGTGACTTGATGCCAGGTGCCGGCTGCTCCCGGTGAAGCTGAGAATGGGGCAGTCACTGACCTGGGGGGAGAGACGAGTTCAGCCAGGACCCTCATTTGATCATCACCTACAAATCACAGTCAGTCTTAGGGGCCACTTGGTAAAAGCCGGGTGAGGACACAACAGGGGCAGCATCTCGCCTGGTTCTCTGAGTTCAGAACAGAGCAAGACAACAAGGACAAGGAGGTCTTGTCCACATGCACGGGTGACACCAGGGGGCCTGAGGCCCTCCTGC